TCGTTACATAAGATCAAAACATTAGATTCATCTTTTATTCTTCCTTCTCCTTTACCTTCCGTATTCAACTAATCGCCAAGTCCTACTCTATTCATTTTATCTCTGCAATATTTCCAACAACCATTTCTACTTTTCTCATATTCATTCTTATCACCATCATAGGGCCTTTAACTATGGACTATTGTAATAGCCTCCTAGCTGGCTTCCCTGCTTCTGGTCTCCTCCCTTCTCTAAGCCTTTCCTCACATAGGTCTATGAATTTATTTTCCTTTTTTTTTCTTAAATTTTATTAATTTATTTTGATTTATCAACAATCACTTCCATATGCTTTTGAGTTGAAAGTTTTTCTCCCACTTCCTCCCCCCCCCCAAGACGGCACACATCTGATAAAGGCTTTACATTTACATTCCTATTAAACATATTTTCACATTAGTGAAGTTGTAAGTAAAAATTAAAACCAATAGGAGGAACCATCAGAAAGATGAAACAAAACTCAACAGAAGGTAAAAATAAGTGATAGCGATTCGACTTCCATAGTTCTTTCTTTGGATGTGGACAGCATTTTTCATCCTGAGGCCTCTGGAGATGTCTTAGATCCTTGTAATGCTGAGAAGGGTTCAGTTTAACAATATTAGTCATCACATGATGTGGCTGTTAATGTGTACAAAGTCCTCTTGGTTCTGCTCACTTCACTCATATACATTTACTTTCTTAAAAGTAATCTGAGCCTGGCATTGAAAATCTTTCCCAACCTAGTTTTGACCTACTATCCCTGCAATCCATTTGTTGGCCAAACTGGGCTAATAATTATTTTACATCTTGCCTTGCTGTCTCATTTCTTGTATACATGGATATACATACCATATCTAGACTATAATACAATTGATGTAGTATATATTGAAATATTTCTATTTCTTCAAGATCCAGCTTCAAGGCTTTGAATGCCAACCCTTCCATGAAGCTTTAGCCTGATATTTTCTTTTAGTGGAGGTGATCTTTCTTTAAATTGACTCACAGAACTATGTCTAGATCTTGCCTTTTCCCTTATCACATTCTACCACATATTGTAATTCCTTGTACATACATATACATAATATATTTATTAGACCATAAGCTCCTTGAGAATAGGGGCTATTTTTAATCTTTGGATTCTCAGAGTCTAGCACAGTGGGTATTTAATAAATGTCTATGGAACTGAATTAAATTGCCTTCAACTAGGAACTTAATGGCATCTATGGCCAAAGTGTTCATCAGACTGAGGGAAAATAGAAAGTACTGTTTCTAAGGCTGACTATTCCTTGTAGTCAAATTTCAGACCTATGCTCTGAACCTGTAATTATTTATCTACCTCTAGTAAAAGTTTCTTGTTTGTATTTATGAATCCTGGCCTGGAGATGTACTGTCATGCTCACTTACTATATGGAAAGGGATTGGAAAAAAGGGAAGGGCTATGTTCCTGAGGCCTTAAGCCACAAGGGTGAGGTCAGGGCCTAAATATGTCAGTCAAGCACTGTGCCAACACATACAGTTTAGGTTATTTTCCTCTTGGGTCACATGTATCATAGCTCTAGAATTGAAAAAGACCCGAAAGGCCATAAAGTCTAATGCCTTCATTTTACAGATGAGAAAACTGAGGTCCCAGGAGGTAAGTGACTGACCCAAAGTCACACAAGTAGTAATAGTCAGAGATGGTAACTGAACTCAAATTTTGCCTTCAGAGAGACTGCTCTTTCTATAATACCATGGTGTCTTCCTTATACACTTCTATTACCTTATTGCCCACACTGAAGTTCATCTGCCACTTTTCTGTCTACTCACACAGCTTTGAGAGGTCTTACTGCTGTTTTCCTAGTATATTTACCATTTCCATTATCTGAAAGAGTCAAGTGTCATCTGCAATCTTAGAAATTTCACCATGTACTCCATTTTCCAGTGCATGTATGAAAACGGTAAGTACTATTTCTTGGAGGACTACGACCTTCCAACTGTTAAATGAATACTTTTCAGGAGAGAGAATAATTATCCTTATGTTATGTTTCCCATAGGTAAACTCTCTGAACATAGGAGAATATATCCTATGGTTCCTATAGTAAGTTAGGGATTTCCCCCCCACAGTCACCTTTGGTGCCATGTTTTTTAGTGCATCCCTAAGCTTTAACTATAAGTATCATGGAGAGGAACCACATTCTCACACACCACATCCTGTGGCATCACTAAGTCAATAAATAGACCACAAGAATCACAGTTGGCAGAATTAGAAGGGTATATTCCATTCCAACCTTTGCCCAAATCATCAGTCCCGTCTTTAACATTGCTGAAAATTGGTCATATGGATCCTACTTTTAGATTTTCAAGGATCAAAAGGTCAATTACCCTCTAAGTTACCCATTCCAGGTTTGGGCAGCTCTAATTCTTAGGAAGTTTTTTCTTGTGTAGAGTCAAAATCTGACTGCACTAACTTTTTACCACTGGACCTACTTCTGTCTTTTTCATAAGACATGCCTTCAAAGTACTTGAAAAGAGCTGTCACTGTCTCCCCTTGTCTTCCTTTTTCTTCCCCAGTTTCTTCATCTCATTCTCATGTGGCAGAGATGCCCTTACCATTCTGGTTGTCCTTCAGTTTGCCAACATCCCTTCCAAATGTGATGCCCAGAATGGTACAGAACACTCCAGGTGTGGTCTGACAAGTCCAGAGTACAATGGGACTATCCCCTCCCTGGCTCTGGATGCACTACCTTTCATCAGTTTAGTCTAAGATTATGTTAACCTCTTCTACTGCTACTTTACAGGGCTGCTTCATACTGTGTTTACAATTCATTAAAATGCCCAGGTCTTTTTCATATGAATATCCAGTGCCATTTCTTTCATCCTATTCTTGTATGATTTTTATTTTTTTAAAAATACAAATTCAGAACTTTATATTCATCCCTACTAAGTTTCATCTCAGTATCTTCACTATATAATCCCCATCTCTTCGTATCTCAATTTAATTCAATTTATTTAACTATTTCTATCACCTTCATGTCATCTTAACTTTTTAAAAAATACATGCCACTTTTGCCATCCTCCAAGTCAGTGATAAGGAATAAGGACAGAGGCAGATCTCTGAAGTAGGGTACTCCAATAGGGATCACCATTCAGTATGACATCAATCTAATGAATATCTCTCTCTCTCTCTCTCTCTCTCTCTCTCTCTCTCTCTCTCTCTCTCTCTATCTATCTATCTATCTATCTATCTATTCTTTGGGTCCACTTAGTAAATTCATTCTGAACCCACCTAACTGAACTGTCATCTATCCATGTCTCTCCATCTTGTCCACAAGGATATCGTGAGAGACTGGATCAAAAGCCTTGCTGAAGTCCAGAGCTACTCTGTCCACTGTATTCTCCTGATCACCTAGTATAGTAACTCTGTCAAAAGAGGAAATGGGTTTAGTATGGAATGAACCCATACAGCCTTATCACCTATTCCCTAAGAGTTCAGAAACTGTCCTTTTAGTATCTTGTTCCAGAATTTTTCCTAAATTAATATTAATTTCATGGGCTTATGTTTTTGAACATCAGGACAATGTCTGCTTGTCTCCATTCCCTTGGCATCCTCCCACCCTCCCAGCCCCCTTTCCAATGTTCTTCAGAATCATTGAGAAGAATTTGGCAGCCACATTTGCAAGTTATTTCAATACCTGGTATCCATTTTTAGTATTCAGCCATGGGCACCATGCTATAGTGCTGGTGAGGTTCTCTGAACCTTAGCTTTCCCTTCTATAAAACCACTAACATCTAAAACAACTTACATCATACAGGGTTGTTATAAAGATCAAATGAGATAACATATATGAAAATGTTTTGATAGCTGTAAAATACTATATAAATGCATGGAAGTATTGTGTTACCATTATTATTGTTTCTAAAATACATTAGGTTAGGAAGGGGGAAAGAGTGAGAATAGTAGAGTGGGACAGAAAGATAAAGATAGAAATAGTAGGAGGGGAGGACTTGGCTATTCTTCACTGAAACTGAGGATATTCTCCAAGTAAGAGTCCCAAGCAGAGAAAGAACAGATGTTCCTACCACTTGGGGCTTTGAAAATAACAGAATTAGAAACTCAATTTGTCCTGGGAAGCCAGTGTCAGTGAGAGGCAAGGTGGCATAAAGGAAAGCGAGCTGGCTTCAGCGTCAGGAAGACCTACAAGTTCAAGTCCTCCTCTGACACACATACTGGCTGCTGACCCTGGGTAAGACATTCAACCTCTCAGTGCCCAAGGCAACCAAACAGTTATATCTTAAACAAGACTATAAGTTGCAGGTAGGTATGGATTTATATTGGTAGAGGGAATTTCTTCATTAGGCATTTCCTTTACCAATGAAATCACAGGTTCAATGAAAAAAAAAAGGCCAGTGTCTCAGTTAAGGATGACAACAGTATTTAACCCAGGGGTAGGGAACCTGTGGCCTTGAGGCCACATGTGGCTTTCTAGGTCCTTGGGTGCAGCCTTTTTTCTGAGTCCAAATTTTACAGAACAAGTCCTTTTATTAAGGGGATTTGTTCTGTGAAGTTTGGATTCAAAGGGCCACACTTGAGGACCTAGAAGGCCACATGTGGCCTTGAAGCCACAGTTTCCCCACCCCTGAACTAATGCTATTTGGTCACTGAGGGCTAATACTGAAACAAAATACTTACTGGTTGCTAGTTTACAATATGGCTCTAAATGTGGCTTTGGATACAACTTACTTATGATGTTTAGGAACAGTTGTCTCATTGTTGAAGTATTGCTGTTTCACTCTCACACCACAAATCCACCTATTTTACCCACAAAGAATAATGCATTTGTATTTCATCATTTTGAAAACTCAAAACATATCTGCAATTTTTTGCCCAGGTGTGCCTTGGCCTTGTAACTATGTTGGCCAAATAAGACAGAAGGCAAGAAGGAGTATGTTAGCTCATATATATGTGCATGTTGTGGGCAAAGCAAGTATGCCCACACTGGGGTTCTCACCACTGCCTCGTTCTCTGGAGCAGACTGATTTGACATTGTGTGACGGTTGTCGTGGGTCCAAGAAGGAAACATGAGCTTGGGAGCCCACTGCATACACAGACCACTCATGGCCATAGGCCAGACACACATTCTCACGACAGTATGGCAGCTTGATGGACAGGAGCTGAAAACCAACAGAAAGAGGATGAGCATATGACACAAGGAAATGGCAGACAACCCCTGACCCCAATGCTTTCAGAGGGCAAGATGATCAACAGATAAAAATATAAACTATCAATGAAAAAACCCATAAAAACTCTTTCTTCTGTGTCTCTAGAGAACCATCCTCAAGAGTTGCCAGAAGAAAAAGCGTGTGATCATCTTTAAGAAATGAAAATAGGTGGACATTGGTGAGAATAAGGCAGGAGGGGCAGCTAGGTGGCATAGTGGATAGAGCACCAGTCCCGAAGTCAGGAGGACCTGATTTCAAATCCGGCCTCAGACCAAACACTTGACACTCAACTAGCTGTGTGACCCTGGGCGAGTCACTTTACCCCAATTGCCTTTAAAAAAAAAGATATAGCGAGAATAAGGCAGGAAAGAAGATAAGCCTTAAACCAAAGAATCAGAGTGTAGTTTAGAGGAACCTGCTCTACTCAAACAGCCATCTTTCTCCTCATTATGGGATAAATACAGCAATCTCATTACCTTTGACCAAGTCATTACATTCAACAGAACTGCTACGATAGAGTAGACTACAGAAAGCAAATCAAAAGGGCAGTGTACGTGTGGGAGGATTAGGAGGGTAACCCATTCTATTCCCTTTTACCCTCCAATAAGAAACACATTGGAATCTTGTCAGAATCACTTATTCATCCACATGACAGATTTTCATTGAGTACCTGTCTATGTGAAGCACTATACTAGCATCGTGAAGAACAAAATCTTGTAAACTTGCTAAAAGAAAAAGGACTTTCTGAGTACTGCTTCCTTGTGAGAAATAATCACAACACAGAAGTTGCAAGCAACAAAGAATGTTTGATTATGGACTTAAGAGGAAGATACTACTTCAAATATAAGTAAATTGGATTTAATACATTCTAGAAAAATTGTATGTAAACTGAATCCAACTTCCCCCTGATTTACATGATAATTTCAGGGACACTTTGTTTTTATTTATAATTGATATTCACTTGCCAATGGCTAATACTTAATTTTATTTGCCCTCAATGCCTTAATCAAGTAGTTAATTATTTATAAATACTTAAATAGACTAGGAGGGCTACTATTGAAAAGAATTAAAAAATATCTTCTAATTCAGCCATCTAAATATCTAGGATTCGCAAAAAGAAGCATACACTTGGATTCTAATGATCTAAGAGTTAAATTCAGGAGGTTTCTACAATTTCCTCAAGCTTAGTTGTAGGCAAAAGGGTACCCAGGGGTTTTCTATAGCTGAGTATCTCAGAATTGGTTAGGAGACTAGGGAAGATTCACAGAGTACCATGACTACAAGATTAACTGATTTTCATACAAAGTCACAAAGGAAGTACTGTGATCACACCTTGGACAGTGTGTGTTCTGCTTTCCAGAGATGAAAGTAGCCATCGAGGGACACTGCTCCAAGCTCCTGGAAGAAAGAATGAGAAGCAGGTTAAAGATACCTCTACAACAATTCATGTCCCATAGCCATTAAAGGCCGAACTGGATGAGTGGTGCCTAGAACCAGGCAGCCATGACTTTCCATTTTGGTTCCTCCCCATATCTCACCCCATTAAAGTTCTTGCTTCACTGTGGAGAGGTAATATGGTATAAAAGAAAGAGAGCTGGGTTTAGTGAAGTCAAGAAAAATGGATCTGAATCACAACTCTGTGACTATGGGCAAAATACCTCTACCTCTGAGTCTCAGTCTTCTCATTTGGAAAATAAGGATAATAATAACTATATATTTAGTATTATAATATATAATATTACATATAATATACACTTATTATATATTATATATAATAGCACCTACCTCTAAGAATTGGTAGGGTAAAACCATCTTGTAAACTTTAAAGTGCTATAGAAATATAAGTTATAATAATAATAATAATAATTATTATTATTATTAACTGCTTGACCTCCACTTTTGGAGACATTTGTTCTTCTTATGATTCTTTTAGCCCTGTCTCAAGTTACCTCCACCTTATTCCACACTTCTGATTTGGAAGACACAAGTCAACTTTGTAGTGTAAGTCATCGGAGAAGAAAACAGAATAAGGCAAGTGACTGCTTTTAGGGTCATAATAATAATAAAATATTAATGTGAAAATCTGTCCAAGAATAGACTATAGCACCTGTGAGCGTCTATGTCCACAGCAGGTAAATAAAGGATCAACAAAACATGCATGTACTTGTGTGTGTACATAAGTAAGTCCACACAACTCTGGGAAAACAGGCACAAACCAGACACAAACCATCTAAGCTGGGGACCGTCTCAGGGAAATGAGAGTGGTACCAACACAAGTCTTATTTGCTGACTTGTGTTCTAGGCCAGTTGCTCCCACCTCTCAAGGCTGGACTTACAACCTTGTTATTTTTTCTGGCAAATATTTCTCTCCATTTTAGGGAGAAGAGAACCAAATTAAGCACTGCTGGGAGCCCAGAAAGACCCAAGTTACTTGATTAATACTAACTCAAGCCCAAGATATAGATGCATCCTCATCATGGGAAAGCTGCTGATGCCTACTTCCAGTCTTGTTCACTGAAAGCTCAAGAATAAAGGAAATATTTCCCAAATTGTCTAACAGTAAGAAAAAGAAAAAGCAGGCTCCAGTAATGAAATTCCCCAGCAGCGCTGACATCTTCCTGTGGTTTGTTACATTCGCCCCTGTGTATGCCCCTCAGTGCCCTGCACACAGCATGTGAGCACATGCACACATCCTTACTTTGTTTTTATTGTTGAAGGCCAGAGCCCGGACCTTGCAGTTGTCAGGATTAGTATTCTCCTTAGGGATGTCTTTTAGGGCCCTGTGTGTGATGTGAGCATACACAGGGACTCGGGATACGTTGTGCCTGGCATCACTTTTGGTCAACACATCTTCTGTCACCTCCCAAAGCCCCATGGAACCATCCCGTGAGCCTGCAGAGGGAACAAGTACTCAGTTTGGACAAACACAAAGCACTGACTAACCTTCCTCACAACCAAACGGTGGGTTTCATTAGTCTAATTTTGCAGAAATTAGGACAACTTCCTCTTCCCCCACACAAATGTTCCCTTACTCCTAGAGATTTTGTGATATAGTGGTTAGTTTGCTGAACAAGCCAGGAATACCTGGGTTCAAATCACATCCCAGATACTGCCTAGTTTTGTGACTCTGGCAAGTCAACTCTTTGTGCATCAGTTTCTTCATTTGTAAAATGAGGTATTAGGTTTAATAGCCTCTAAAATGTCTTATAGTTGTAAATCCTTTGTCCCTTCTCACACTCACCAATATCCTACTAAGAGTCTAACAAGAATTCAGAGTCCTGAAATAGGACTAGTTGAGGGCTAGAGTGTCTTTTTAATTTGTGTTGTCACACAGGCCTGATTTCCTGACTGCTTTTTCTTCAGGCCCTGGTTCTGTGTTAATTCTCATAAATAGCTAGCCTGGTCTAAATCAGGAACACCAAGAGAGAAAACCAGCAGTGTCTGAGCCTCACACACAGTTCTGTCATGTGAATTCACGGCAGGGATCAGTGCTAATGGCCTCAGTTCTGAGGGCCCTTAGCAGGAGGGGAAAGGAATAACTGCAAAACACCAGGCTGATGTGGAAGGGAAGAGCCAGGTGTGGGATGGAGAATGAAAGAAACAGTCTCTGAGGTAGGCGACAAACTATTACTCTGAATGATGAGATCCTAGAGAAGTCCTGATTCATTTTCATTTTGAGAGCCTTAGTTCTAGTTATAGGTAGCATAAAGAAAAGCAAGCAGTTTTGAGTTGCCAGGCCTCAGTTTGAATCCTGACTGAGATATGTGTGTGGATACAAATCACAGCCTCTCTGACCCTCAGGTTCCTCATCTGTATAAAGGAGATGATACTTAAGTATTAGCCACCTCACAGGGCTACCATTAAGAAAAATTCCTTGTAAACTACAATATGTATCATAAGTGTGACTTGTTTGGTCTTAGGGATAGCAAAATATCTTACATTTTAAAAATTCCACTAAGAAATTGCTTTTGAAATAAAATGCTTTTATTTCAAGGAATAAATTTTCTTTAACACAGCCAAACTCAGGGATATGACATAGGAAAATGTCAGTAAGGCTTACCTTTTCCTACTCAAGATTCTCATGGAGCTAGTAACACCATCCTCACCTTTACTGCCTTTAAAGATACTATCCTTTTCATAGAAAGGGGCCACATCTGACTCACTATTGAAAGATCATTTAGTTTAGATTATTTTTCCAATTGCTGGGATGGATACACATTCATTCATTCTCACTCAGACCCCTTTGTGACCATCACCAGGGTAACTGAATAGGATTAGTGCCACAGTTTTGCCTTATTCCATGGCTTTGAAATGCCTTCCAATGTGCTTCTTGCTATACTTGAAATGGTAGAAGTAAATCATTCTCTTTTTGCTTGTCTACTCTTTTTCAGTCTTTTTTGCGGGTATATTCCACCTACTTCTTAAACTTTGGTGTCCCCAAAGATCCAGACATAGGCTCTCTTCTTTCTGTATATTCATTCTCTCTTGTTTATCTCATCAGCTCTAATCTGATGATGCACTAAACTATACATTCAACCCCAACCCCTCTCTTGAATTTTAATCTTGCATGGTCAATTACCTGCTAAACATTTCTAATCTGATGATGGCATCTTAAACTCAACATGACCCAAACTCAACTCATTATGTTCCTTGCTGAACTGGACCCTCCTCCAAAGCTTTTCCTATTTATCATCCTTCCATCCACCTGCTTTCATAATCTCAGATTTAACTTTGACTCTTCCTTCTTCTTCATCTCCATGTACATTCAGTTGCCAAGCACTGTGGAGGAGTTCATCCCCACATCCTTCATATCCACCCCTTCTCTACACTCACATAGTCAGAACTCACTTAGTTCAGACTTTTGCCACGACTATTGCAATGCAGCCTCCTAATTGGTATTTTGGCTCTGATCTCTCAAATCCCTACTCAAATCTATCCAAATGGAGCTGCCAAAATAGTCTAAGGCATGGGTCTGTTTAGTCTCCTCCTTCTTATTGGCATTCTTTTGCCCTTTGGCAGTCTCCCCAGATTTCCATTTAAAGTCCTCTATAACCTGGCTCCAACCTACCTTTCTAGATGAATTTCATATTATTCTCTTTCCTTAACTTTATGTTCTATCTTAATAGGCCTACTAGGTATTCCATAAACTCTGCACACCATCTCCTGTTTCCATGCCTTGTCATAGTTTGTTCCACATGCATGGAGTGTAGTCCACTTCTCCTTACCTCTGCCTCTTAGATTCTTCATATTTATCCAAAGACTAACTCAAGGACCACTTTCTCATGTAAAGTGTTCTCAACTCCCTCAGTTAGGGAGCTCTTATTCAACTGCCTGCAAATAGTAAACCTCCAAGAAGATAGAAAGTCCTTGAGGTCAAAGAATATTTAACTTTGGTCTTTACATTCTTAGTGCCTAGCACAGTACCCCATATAGAGGCATTTCAAGCAATCAGTTGACAAGGGCTTAATATACGGTGATATTGCCACATGACAACCCTGTTTCTAGTTGCTGCCTTTTGTCTTTGTATCCCCGAACAGTACTTGCCCTAAGGGGATTACATTCATACAGTAGTATGAGGGAAACCGCATATACATGTAGGTATATATAAAATATATACAAGATAATTTGGGAAAGGTGAGGCACTAACAGCTGTAGAGATTAGGTTCGTGTAGTAATGTATAATCAAGCTTGGAAATGTAGGGTGGAATTAGATTTTGAAATATTTTAAATACCAAACAAAGGTGCTTGTATTTGATGCTAAAGGTTAAGAGGGGGTTACTGGAGTTACTTAATTCAGTAGAGGAGTGACATGTTCAGGCCAGTGCTTTAGGAAAATCACTCCAGCAGTTGTGTGGAAGATACATTTAGGAGGCGAGAAACTTGAGGCAGAGATTATTGAGTCCAGATGAGGGCCTGAACAAGGCTGGAGAGCTAGTAATTAGAAAGAACAGGACAGATGGCAGAGATATTGTGGAGCTAGAATCAAGAAGACTTAGAAGCTGTTGGATGTGTAGGATAAGGGAGAATGAGAAGCTGAGGATGACTTGGAGGCCATAAATCCAGTATTCAGGCAGCATCCTAAATAAGGTTCATGTCACTTTCCTTCCTTAGGGATAAAGACAATGAAATTCACCTCCTGGTCACCTTGAGTACCATCCTTAGGTGCCACTGTCTTCACCTTAGCACTTAGGTTTAGAAGGAACAGAGGAAGGCAAATAATACTTAAGAAAAATGTGGGAAATCAGTAACTCAGCTCTTGGTAGGTCCTAGCCTCAGGTAGGAACCCAAAGGGAGTAGAGTATTCTTGTATTTCTGCCTATACTTCTTAGAATCTGGTATAGAACCAGCTCAGTGGTTACTGTCAAGCTCAAATTAAAATATTGCTCTTAGCTAAAAAAATGTATGTGGGATTGTGGACAGAAAGATAAAGTTCTGGGGATCCTTTGCTTTCCTTTTTTGAGTTTGCTGCTGGTGATATTAAAATAAATACTTGACTGAAACATTTTCTCTAAAAGTACAACTTCTTTTAAATGCCAGAGCCTGAAAATCGCATAGCCCTAGATTCTCTCCTATATTTAAATACATTTTTAAAAAATCCTGCAGCTCCCTGAAATAAAAATCTTGTCATACAACCAAGGAAAAGAGTAAAGAACTTATCCAAATGGAATTTTCTTTCCAACCTCATTGTACCCTTTTCCTTCCTCCTCACCAATCCCTCATCCTGAACTCCGGCCAAGCCAGCCTTTCCCCTGTTCCTCACAGGCAGTGCTCCACTTCCCATCTCTTGTCTTTGCACTGACCGCCCAATATGCCAGGAATGTACTCCCTCCTTACCTCCAGCTCAGAGGATCCTGCTCTCCCATCAAGACGCAGTCAAGCACCATCTTACGCATGAAGCCTTCTTTGATCTCCTCAGCTGCTAGTGCCTCCCTTTCAAATCACCTTGTATTTAGCTAGTTTGTGTTTATTTGTGCTTATCACCTTTGTTTTTTTTCTGTATATACTGACATAGGTCCTTACAGCTATTAGAATGTAAGCACCTTGTAAGCAGGGATCATTTCACTCACTGTGTTTGTATACCATGGTATACAGCAGACATTTAATAAATACTTGTTGACTGACTAATCACTCCCATTAGTCTTCTGACTTCTACTTCTATATGTTCTTTGTTGCCTCTAGCACTGATAATCCTACTCAAAAATGATTTTAAGGAGAACGTACAGAATATATCCTATAACTTTTGGCTTCTAAGCTCTTTTGAATCAAGCACTCTTGTAGTTTTTGTCAATTGTGTGATGAGAATCCCTTAGCCAGAAGGTTCCAAAAGATCATACAACACTGAAAATCATCTTAGAATATGATAATTTTACCAGAAACTGCCATGGTATCACTGATCCATGCAATAGAGAATATCCAGTCCTTGTGTCCATCCTTGAAGCAGGGGAGAGAAGAAAAGAAAATCACTCAGAAAACAGGGTTCATCATACTGATTCCATTATTTTGAGTCTGTGAGTCAGCCAAAGAAAACCTACAAATCAATTTGCTAAAATGGCAGCTATAGTCTACTCCAACACACATTTGTAAAAATGATAAATGTAATAACATTCTAACCAATGGGGACTGCATAAACATCTCCAGATCTCTCTTGAAACTGAGAGACAATCAATTCTCTTAAGGAAATGGTGATGCCTGGGAATCAGTAAATTAGTTCAGCTGGCATTTATCTCAAGTCCTTGCCTGATTCTCCCTTACATATTCCCAGGAGAACTGTTCCTGTTTCCCAAGCAAAAACAAAACAAAACAAAATACAATGCTAATAGCCCCATCATTCAAAATTAATTATTTGAGGTGTGTGGCTCACAAAACTCTGGTTCTGAATGTAGAACCAAATTAAAATGTAATTGGGAAATGTTTGACAAAATAAATAAAATTATAGTACAATATAGATAATGGTAATTTGTGGTTTTCTAAGTCATATGTGGCCCACGGGGATCTATTTCTATTTGAGTTTGACACCACTGATCTTGACCCTCATCACATTAATAACTATTTCCATTTCTATTAATACTATATTTGCTTATTTAAAGCAGAAATTTGCTTTATATATATGGATCTTTTATCCCTTGGGGTAAGCAAAGTTAAAAATAGCAGAATTGTCAATTCTGACATCTCTGCATGACCAAGAATGATTTCGCCTTCTTGAAGGGTTCTTAACACTGTTTCTAGATTTAATTTCTCGTCTCAGAACTTTCTGAGGATCAAGTTAGTGTTCTAAATAGGATGTGATGGAGAACTTTCTAGAAAACTTGGTGAAAAGTGGAGGGAGAAAAGGAGCTGTCGCTGCCCTAGCTCCATGCAAAAGAACTCGCCCCACTGCAATCTTCTCTTTTTTCCCACTTGCTCCCCCAACATCCCAAATGATTCACTGGCAGTTCCCTTTCATCCCTCAGACATTGACACTTCCACAGTGGTATACCCTGAGCATCACTCCCTGATTATAGAAAATAAGGAAGAAAGCCTTATTATGATTTTTTTGGGGTAAAACTCAATGCCTCCCAGGAAGAACTAAAAAAGGCATATAGGAAGCTATCTTTGAAATACCACTTGATAGATAAAATAGATAAGAATTCAAATGAAGGAGAAAAGTTCAAACAATTCTCAGCTTATGAAATGCTTTCTGATACAAAGAAAAGATTTATATGACAAAGGTGGAGAACAAGCCATCAAAGAGGGTGGTTCTGCTAATGACCTTGGTTTTCCAGTCAAAATATTTGCTATGTTTTTTTGAGGAGGTGGAAGAAGGCTAAAGAAACAGAGAGATAAAAATGTTGCTCATCAGTTGCCAGTGACCTTAAAAGATTTATATAATGGTACAACAAGAAACTGGCTTTGCAAAAGAATTTGATTTGTGATAAATGTGAAGGACAGGGTGGTAAGAATGGAGCTGTGGAATGCTGTATCAAATGCAGAGATACTGGAATGCACATAAGAATTCATCAGATAGAACCTAGAATGGTTCAGCAAATTCAATCAATTTGCATGGAATGCCAGGATGCAGGGAACAAATCAGACCTAGAGATAGATTTAAATATTGCAGCAGAAGGAAAATTGTTCAAGGGAAAAAGATTCTGGAGGTTCATAATGACAAGGGCATGAAAGATGGTCAGGAGATAACATTCCATAATGAAGGTGACTAGGAGCGAGGACTTGAGCCAGAAGATCTTGAGCCAGAAGATATTAACATTGCTTTGGATCAGAAGGACCACACTATATTTACACAATGAGCTGGGGATCTTTTCATGTGTACAGATATCCAATTCGTTGAAGCACTGTGTGGCTTTCAGAAACCAATATCAACTCTTGACAATAGAACTATCGTCATTCCTTCTCGCCCTGGTCAGATTGCCAAGCTTGGAAATAGAAATATCAAATGTGTGCTGAATTAAGGCATCTCGATTTATTACTGACCTTATGAAAAAAGGATTCTAATAATTGAATTTAAGGTAAACTTTCCAGAGAATGGTTTTCTTTCATCAGATAAGCTATCTTTGTTGGAAAAATTACTGCTTGAAAGAAAGGAAGTAGAGGAGACTGGAGAAATGCATCGAGTAGAATGGTGAACTTTGACTCATCTCAAGAAAGATGACATTACAATGGGGACGAATGGTAGCATTTATAAGGATGATGAGTATGAAGTAGTGTTCAGTGTGAAACCTCTTAATGGGAGCCAATGAATACTCTTCACTGTAATGCTGGCTTTTGTATGCAATAATGAATGAGTGAAGGACTACAATCATCTCAACACACTCACCACTAGCTATTGTTTTTGTTGTAATATTCAACTATAGTTATGTTTTTTATGTTCATGTTAATGAATAAAATCAGTGATATAAAATGCTGACTTTGCAATTTATGACGTTCAGAGTGCAAGATAGTTTAACATTGTTAATTATTTCCTTATGGTGAAGAAGCCCCCAAGCAATTTTTCATGATTTGTACTTTTGCTTCAAAGCACATATGTAGGGCCTTAGATTGAGGTTTAATTCTTGATTGATTAAATGTACACAAGCATTTATAATTATTAAACTCTGAAATTAAATTTTTTACTGAATTTTTAAAAAAGTAGGATGGGATGAGACAGGTGCCTTTGAATCATTCTTGCTAACTCAAATGCCTCTCATTAGCAGGATGCTATCTTGCTCTAATTTAAGTGTTGTGTAAATGATTAGATTTGGGATTTGATTACACTGTTTTCCACCTGGTGCCACTGAATCAATCCTGAAAGACTAAGTTTACCCTGGCCTATTAATCTAAAATCCACAATACAAACAAGAAAGTTTTGCTCTCTATAGATGCAATAAAGAAGTCAGTTTGGTTTAAGCCTCAATTCTCATGAAACGAAATTTTTAAAAAAAAGATGAGGAAGAGGGGGAAAGGACAGATAGAAAGAGGAAAAGTTGGAGGTCAAGGAAGAGCCTTTTCTTAGGCTTAAATTGAAAGGTCAAGAGAAAGCCCCATGCTAGGAAGGCTGCTCAGGTTTAATGCCAAATGTGGGAAGAAATGAAAAGAGAGGAGAAAATAATAGTTTCGCAAAAAGAACCACAAAAACCATTAACAAGACCTATCTCCTTGTTCTCACCAGAGAGGTAGGGGGATTACTAGAGTAAACTATAACCTATATCAACAGGCACGGTCACTATATTGGCTATCTTTGCTTAACTGTTTTTCTTGATTACAAGGGAGAGTTTAATTCAGAGGGTGGGTGGAAATGATGGATGTAAAAACAAAAGGTGTCAATAAAGCCAAGTTTTTTTTTTACATGGCTATTCCTCTTCCCCTATGTAGTTCTGTCATTTTTTCTCCTAACGCTATCTACTTTGGGAGAGAAAATTGGGAAAACAAAGAGACTAGGCCTGCCCCTTGGCATAAACTCCCTGTTCAGTCACACAAGGCTTAAGTAATGTAAATAACATGATATGATGGCTGCATCTTTCTCAGAGGGCACAGAAGCAAATACGTGTTTGAACTCGAATGGATCTCACACCTATCAGGTTAGCTAAAGTGATAAAAGGGGAAAATGACAAATGTTGGAGGTGATGTAGAAAAACTGGGACACTAATATACTGTTGGTGGAACTGTGAACTGATCCATCCATTTTGGATTTATAACCCAAAGAGTTATGAAACTATGTATACCCACTGACCCAGCAACATCACTATTAGGTCTGTTTCTCAAGGTGATCACGGAAAAAGGAAAAGAACTTATATGTTCTAAAATATTTATAGCAGCTGTCTTTATGATGGCAAAGAACTGGAAATTGAGGGGATGCCCATCAATTGGGGAATGGCTAAATAAGTTGTGGTATGTGATTGTGATGGGACTGTGCTACAAGAAATGATGAGCTCAATGATCTTAGAAAAATACGGAAAGACTTGCAGGAAATAATGAAGAATTAAATGAGCAGAACCAAGAGAACACTTATACAGTAACAGCAATATTGTTCGAAGAACAACTGTGAATGACCCAGTTATTTTGAATATTATAAATACTCAAATCAACTATAAAGGACCTATGAAGGAAGATGCCATCTACCTCCAGAGAAAGAACTGATAAAGCGATGTATAGTATGGTTTTAACATGTATATATATTTATATACATACATATATAAATATATATAAACATATCTGTGTCTAATGGTGGCCTTCTCTAGAGCACTGTGGGGAGGAAAGGAGAAAAAAATAAAAAGGGCACAGCAGAGAACAAAAGAAAACTCAATGGAACCACAGAAAAGCAGGGTAGCTTTGAAAATGATGTGTAGTATTTATTACATAGGTTTTTTTTAAAGCAAACAGTGTGAAATGAAGATTCATGGTTTCATATCAAATCCTCTCTTTGTATTATACTGTGTAAATGGAAATTTTTTTTGTCTTTTTGCATTTAAGTTCAAAATGAATTTAAAAAAAGAACTTGAGTGGATCTAGGAAAGATTATATTTTGACAAAACGGCTAACTGCTCAGTAGAACAAAAATAAGTTTGACTCTTCTAGATGATGAAATGCTCAACATTATTAGGAAAGCTTGGAGACAGAAAACATAGCTCTCCCCTTATACAAAATCAGAATTCACCTGCGCTTAGAATGCAATGTATAGTTTCGGTTGCTGCCACATAACAGAGCTTGAGAAGGTGCATAAAAACAACTAACATGATCCACGGGCTGGATAGCTGGATGAGTTTTTTAGAAGAGATTTCAACACTTTAGATATGTGGACAATATGGAAGAACAAAGTGGGAGATGAGCTGTCTATGAAGTTATGAATGATATGAACAACAAAGTCTATACCCAGTCTCAAAGTACTAAAAAATAGCAGCCATATCCACATCCTCTGAAACTGAAAGAGATAAATTTATACTTAATAAAAAAGGAGAAACTGATACTTGGTAAAAAAAATCATGGAATTCATTAAACAAGTAGTACTGTCTAAAAACACAAAAGATCCAAGATAGGGCTCAATCAATTCTAAAATGAGATATTAAAGGAATGCTTAGGGTTATGCTCCAAACACATTTCAACACTCATTCAGACAAGTTCTCAGTATCACTTTATGGCTCCTCAAAGAAAAGACAGAAAAAGGACAAAGGGAAATAAAAGTCTATAGCCTGGGCGCCACTAAAGTCCAGAATCAACTGATTTTAGATGATTCTGAGGTTAAATTGATCCTGTATCATTTTCTTATTGATCTTATTTATAATTAATTGATTTTGTTCTCTAACTGCTTTTGTCCGTAAATGGTTAAGTCACAGCTCTTTGTCTCTAAACTTAGCTCAGGATTTGGCTGGCCTATAATGTGTTAAGTGTAAAAATCCAGCTCTCTTGCTAATCACTGATTTATTTGTGCCTCAAGGAATTTAACTGACCTTGGGGGATGCATGTGAACACAAGGGAGTCAGGTCTAATAGTTTTACATCCCAAATTATCCTTCAAGGATATTTGGTTTATTATCTTGCACCAAGAGGTAAGGAGGGCTTTGTTGCTAGGCCCCATTACCAAACTTCCAACCAATCATGTTGTTCCTTGCACCTCAGCTGTATAACCAATCATGTTATCCTCAACAATCTACCCTGTTCTGTTCTTTGTTCTTTACTCCCCAAAACCTATAAAGAGAAACTGTCATTTTGCTGGGGGGTCTTCGGCATAAATGGAGAAAAGACATTGATCCATTTGTTGACAGGACTCATGACCCTGCTCATAAACGTTATCTCGCTTGGAGGACTGCCTCAGCTTACCCTTTTGTTAGATTCTACTAGCAAAAACTCTAACACGAATAAAAGTAACCTGCCACTTGGGGCAAATTCCAAATTCTAAGAAATAAGCTCCCAATTAGTAATGGCAAATAAAAAAGAAAGTATTTTAACTTAAAATATTCAAAGGTTATTAAATTCTCCCCAATGCCTGGAAATTTTGTCAATCTGAAGGTGTAAAAGAAATCTCTAAAGTCATGGATTGAGAAGCTGGATACATCTTCATCTCATACACACTTTGGCAGGAATTCCAAAGGGAATTAGAGTTTGTGAGTAAATGTGGTAACTGTAGATTTTATTATCTACTGCCCATTCTAAGAAGATGCCTCATCTTTTAAATGGTCTGTGACAGCATATAGCTGTGGAATTCTTCATCCCAAATACATTACTGTACAATATCATCATGAAACCCTTAAAGAAAATAATTATATAAGATTATGTTTGTGTTCCTGGTTTTCAGCTGGGGTAAACCCTGACTTTTCTAGGCCCATACTAAGTAAAGGGAGCTCAATTCTAATACTGGCCTCAGACGGGAGAGAGAAGGGAAGATGGATAGAATGCCAAAGGGAGGTCCTCTCCACAGAAACACCTTATAAGAGCTTCTCTGGATCCTTCATTATGTGGCTACCCTATTTGGACCACACATAAGAAAGCTTAGTTTCTAAATTCAACTTCTAGAGCAAATAGGAACATGGTGAATCACATGTATATGATTCATTTCCATGTACCTGTTGGACACTTTAAACCAGGTGCACCAATCATCAAGCAGGAATGTAAGTACAACTCTGATGTGAAAGTCTAGGCAAATCTCAAATAGATGACCATTACAGTAGTTGTTTCTTTTCCCCATTATGCATGATATGAAAGTCTAGGTAAACCTCAAATAAATGAACATCACAGTAGTTGTTATTTCTTCCCTCTATACATCCGCAGATACATTTAGAAAAAACTTACATCTCCCACACACACAGGATCTAACGTAGGCAGCCGATAGATCGCAAGGCTGTTGGGATTGTCTCCTCCCGTGGCCAGTAGAGTTCTTGAGGGGTTCAGCTCGATGGCATGGATACCACAGCCCTGCTGGGTCACCACTCCAGGTTCTCGATCTTTCAAAATGGGAATCTTGGTGATCTGGCCTGTCTGGACATCGACCACAAACAACTGAAAAAAAATGGGGCAGGGAAATACCATAAAAGAATAACTAAGAAGCTGAGGAAATGTACCATTTTTTCAGGGTTGTAGATTACAGGGTTATAGCTTCATCAGAAAGACCTGCTAGGTGAAATGTTTTTAAATATTATGCTGATACAAAAATATTTATACCAAGTCTTTTTGTTGTGGAAAAAAAATGGAAACCAAAGGAGTGCCCCTCAATTAGGGAGTGGCTAAACAAATTATGAAGGGAATAGTTTTAGAGAAACATGGAAAAACTTGTATGAACTGATGTGGAGTGAAGTGAGCAGAACCAGCAATACAATTTAAGTAATATTTAAAAGACAAACAACTCTGAAAGACTTAAAAACTGACCAGTGAATGCAATGAGAAACCATGACTCCAGATGGCCTTAGGATGAAATACATTACCTACCTCCCGTCAGCAGACAATGGACTCAGGATGTAGACTGAGACATATAATTTTTGGATATGGGCAATGCTGGAATTAGTTTTAGTTGATTATACATATTTATCACAAAGGTTTTGGTGGTGGTGTTTAAATGAGAGGGAGGCAGCAGGAGGGAAAGAATTTTTTTTAATTGAAAAAATTTTTAAAAAACCCCATGATGGTAATAAACAGATTCTCCTCTTAAGGTAAACAAGTTCATACTCAAGTTCTCCCTACCACTGAGGTTATAGTATTTGCCTTAACCAGTCAATATCAGAAAAGTTAAGAGTCCAAGTTAGTCTTGAACATTAAATAACTATTGGTGCTGATATGTTCATTCCAAGTGTCGGGTTGCATTACCTGAAAACTCCACAGGGATCAGCAAACTATGGCCTGAAGAATGGTTTTTACATTCTAAATTAAAGTTTTGTTTTATTTAAAGATGTAAAAACAATTCTTAGCTCACAGGCCAGACAAAAACAGACTCATTATACTGCAAGATGAAAAACTCAGAAACTCACACCCCTCAGTAGCCCCTGCTCCTGGGGCTCTTCCCTCTCTCTGGCTGGAGAGGGCAGGAAGTAGACATTTGGAAGCTCATTCTTGATCCTCCTCATTTAAGGATGACACTCAGGGAATTCTCATCATTTGCCACCTAGCTACTTTCATGGACTTCATCATCTTCAGAAACTCATCATTCTGTAAGATGAAATCAATTCAGAAACTAACACCTCCTCAGATAGTTTGCCTCTCCCACTGCATGACTTCATCATGCCCTGGGACAGGTAACCTTTTCAAGCTTCCCCCTTTTCAGCTTTTTATGTGCTGTCTCTCCCCTCATTAGATTGTGAGTTCCTTTAGGGGAAGGACTATCTCATACCTTTCTTTGTATCCCCAGTGTATGGCACAGATTAGGCATTTAAAAAATTGACTGTGACTTGGGATTATCCCTTGAACTATCATTTGCCATCCCTTGACTCCAGAATGATATAAAAAACATTATATCAAGTTGGATAGCAAAGGAATAAGTCACAAAGTCGAATCCTACACCACGTACCATTTCTATCTCTGTTTCATATGTAAACTCTTATCTAATCTCTGCTCAGTTTATATTTTATTAGAAGGAAGGAAAGAATGAATGACAGCATGTTCCAAAAAATTCTCATTTGTTAAATTTTCTGCTATCTTCTGAATGGCTAAGTGTTTCAATATAAAGATGCTAGATCTAACCTAGATGTTTTCTTCTCCTCCTTCTTTGTCCCACCCCAATCCCTCCATATATACTCATCAGAACTCTAGGACAGTTGGCCTCCCTTCACTTAGGGCCAGGAGGAGAGAAACAAATATTGCTAAGCACCAGACACAGTATACTCCAGAAAACCCTAGAAGTAGGCAAAGGAACCCAAGTACCCAACTAACTCAGGTCACATAAATGGCCTCAAAACCCAAGAATGCTCATATCAACAAATAAATATACAACAAAATACTTAGTAGCTACCATTTCCTGAGTTCCTGCCACATGGTGAAAAGTCAAAAATGGTAAGTGAGAACTAATTCAAACACAAATTTAAGCTCCACCTATAATAGGCACTGGGGAGACAGAAGGATATGACATACATATAGAAAACTATAATATACAATATTACACAAAGAGAGATACAAAACAAAGTGTGCTCTGAATTCTGTTAGGGATAGGCAGTTACAGAAGATCAGGTAAGGATTCATGAAGATTCATTTCTCTCTAGACTCTGAGACTCCTGACTCTGAACTTTCTCCACCATGCCACAACAGCCTTTACTCCTTGGAAAAGCACTCTGACCCCATGCAGCCTCCTCACTCTGCAAGTCCACTCTGGCCCTTTGTCCCCTTCCTCTAAATGGTTGATTGCTCCTAGGTAACCCTATTTTAGAGAAGTATTCAGGACATCCACATCTTCATTCATTTCTCTCAAGGCTCAGTTACATTTTCCCTCTTCCTCTACACTGCAACATTCCCTTCCTCTTCTTTTGGCTTCCTTTTTAATGTGTGATATCTCCACATCAGAATGTAAGCTCTGAGGGCAAGAACTCTCTTTCTGCTTGTACTTATATTCCCAGAGCTCAGCACAAGAATAAGCACCTAATAAATGCTTGTTAACTTGAGGCATCTGAGTTAGTCCTTAGAAGAGGGAAGGGATTCTTAACAGGTGAAAAGGGAAGGAATACTAAGCTCCAACCCTCAATAAATTTGCCATCTATTCAGGAACAACATACAGTCATAGGCATAAAACATGTTAAGAAATGGGTCTCCATCACTTTGCTAGAGTAATTAAAATGCCTCAAGGCAGATGGAGTAAACTCAGGAAAGTTTTAATGGAGGAGGTGAGTCTTGGGTAAGGAAGGATATGGTACCAAACAGGAAATAGAGGCAATTACAAAAGGTAAAATAGACAACTTTAATTACATGAAAATAAAAAGCTCCTACATAGAAAAAATTAATACACCTAGAGAAGGAAAGGAAGAGGCTGAGAGAGAAAAAAGTTCTTAAAAGAATTACAAAGAATTCACAACCCCATAAAAGAATGCTCCAAATGACTGAGAGAAATGCAAATTAAAACTATCTTGAGGTTTTATCTCACAGCCTAAAACTCATCAAAGAAGACAAAAGATGGCACATTAATACATTGTTGGTGGAGCTGTGAAAAGGTACGATTATTTTGGAAAGCAAATTTGGCATTATACAAATTAAGTGACTAAAGTGTCCATACCTTTCAAACAAGAGACTCTCTTGCTGGGCTTATCCCTTAAGGAAGTCATTGTTAAGAAGATATTTGTAGCAACACTTTGTGCAGTAGAAAAGGTTTGGAAACAAAGTAGATGCCATTGATTGGGAAATGGCTAAACAAATCATGGATTATGAATGTAATGGAATACTACTGTGCTGTTAAGAAATGAAGCATATGATGCACACAGAGAAGTATGATAAGTTCTACATGAACTGATGAAGGGTAAAGTAAGCAGAGTCAAAGAAACAACACATATAATAACTATAGCAAGGTAATGATAACTACACACATAAAAAGTGTATATAACAAAATTATAAAGACCAAGCATGAATCAAATGAAGAAATATGATAGGGTGTTCCCAATCCACCCCTTCATGGAGGTGGGAAGTCCACAGGTGTTACAAAGTGTGTATGTTTTCTGACTTTTTCAATTACTGATTAGATTTTTTTCACCTTTTCTTTTTTGTCTTTAAAAATATTTCTTGGGGCAGCTAGGTGGCGCAGTGGATATAGCACTGGCCCTGAAGTCAGGAGGACCTGAGTTCAAATCCAGCCTCAGACCAAACACTTGACACTTACTAGCTGTGTGACCCTGGGCAAGTCACTTAACCCCAAATGCCTTAAAACAACAACAACAACAACAAAAATATTATTTCTTATATAGGATGGCTCTCTAGCAGTAGGGAAAGGATAATTATGAGTATAAAAAAAAGACATCAATAAAAACTTATTTTTTTAAAAAGGAAGGCTATGATTTGCTGAAGTAGAGTCGTGTGCACTATTAGCAAAGCTGTGAATTGATCTAACCATTTTGGAAAATAATTTGGAATTGTATAAGAGAAATTACAAAACAATGTACAGGGACTCAGCAATTCTGTGATGGCATCAAAGACAGAAACAAAGGTCCCATATTTTAAAAAAATTCATAGCATAACTTTTAATGGTAGCAGAAAAGGAAAAAGGTAGATGCTTATGAGAAAATGGCTGAAAAAATTATAGAATATGAATATTTTTATTGTTATGGTCTTTAAATATGCTGTGCTTAGTTAGCATTTATGTTTTTTAATATTTATTCAAAACTTTTCCATGCTATAGGCCATGATCTAGTTTTCCAAATAACACTATGTGCTTAGAAAAAGATATTTTTTAAGGTTTTGATTCAAAAGATGGTATATATAGTATACATATGTATGTATATATACATACACATACATTTAGTATTGATATAATATTATTATCTGTAGTTCCTTTTTATAAGTAAAATTTCCCTATCTCCCTTGATGCTGTGAATTTTTTTTTGTTTTGTCTAGCACAGGATTTCTTTGGATCTGTGAAATTGGTGTCTTAAAACATTCTGATAAGCTATATTTCAGCATTGTTGTTTTTCTTTATAATGTTGGTTTTCCTTTATAATGCTATACATTTTATTTTATGCATAAAAAACATTATTCTGACCCACAGATTTTGCAAGACTGCTAAAGGGGTCCACAACTCAAAAAAGATTAAAAATCCCTGGTCTGATAATATGTTTGCAACTCTTGCTTTTTTTTCCCCTTCAAATCACAATATACTTTTGTTTTATGCTCTTTATGCTCTTATTTTTATATGTTTCTTGTACAGGCATTCCTCAGAGATATTGTGGGTTCTGTTCCAGACCAAAGCAATAAAGCAAATGTCTCAATAAAGAAAGTCACGAAATTTTTGGTTTCCCAGTACATATAAAAGTTAAGTTTACACTATACTGTAATCTAGTAAGTGTGCAATAGTATTATGTCTAAGAGAACAATGTACATAC